CGCCCCCCGGCCCGGCCCCGCTCCGCGCCCCCACTCAGCGCCCGGCCCGCCCGGCTACCCTACGGCTGGGCCGCGCGGCCATGAGGCTGCGGGGATGCGGTCCCCGGGCCGCCCCCGCCTCCGGCGTAGGGGCCGGCGACGCTCGGCGGCTGGCGCCCCCGGGCCGGAACCCCTTCGTGCACGAGCTGCGCCTCAGCGCCCTGCAGAAGGCCCAGGTGGGTGCCCTCGCGACGCTCGGCGCCCGCCGCCCGGAGGCCGGCCCCGGACGGGGCGGGATGCGCGGTGGAGGAAAGGGCTGGGGAGAGGGGTCGGGCGCGGCCCAGCCCGGCCCTACGAGCGGCGGTCCCTTCCCCGGGGCCACCCTGCAGCCCGCCGCGGACCGCAGTCCCCACACTTCTCTGGCGCCCACCGCCCGCGCCAGATCCCAGCTCCTCACCCCCTCTCTCTGGGTCACCGCATCTTGGACCTGGCCCTCACCTCCTTTCTCCAGATCCCTGCACCCCAGTTCCGCACCCCGAACTCGGCCCCACACCCCGATCGCATACTCTGAGCCGGGCCCCACATCCTTTTTTCTGGATCCGGCCACCCTGATCTCGATCCCACCCAGAGCCCGGACCGGCTTCCCGGGTCCCCGCGCCCGTTCCCGGTCCTAGGTACCGACCGTCGCAGGCCCCGCGCTGCCCGTGGGTAGCCTCGGAGCCAGGGGCGGTTCAACGGGCGGGAGGCTGACTTTGTCACTTGAGAAGCCTCCAATGCGGGGATTTCACTGATCATCTGAGTCAGTGCCAGAAACAGCGGGGTGCAGGGGGTGAGGGTCCCTTGGAGATGGGAGGGGTTCCACCTCTGTATTTGCAGTGGTTTTCGGGACTGTGCGCATTATTCCTGCTTTGGGTGACGCTCCTTTGGGGGTTAGTCTGTGACCAGAATCAACTTTACACGCCTAGGTGCCCACGTGGGAGGGAGCACTTTGCTGTTGGCTTAGATTCCAGTTTGGGAGGGTGGGGAGTGGTTCCGGTCTGTGAGATCACTGGCAAGGGGGGCTTTTTCTGACTTAAGCACCATGCACAGAAGTGGGCCGTTTGTGGGCTCCTGTAGTTGCAGTTTATGGGAGCGTGTTTCCTGCTGTGAGACAACTTCTTTTAGGGGCTGAGAATTTTAGTTACAGGTCCGTGGGAAGAACATGAGCAGAAGACTGAGAATACCACAGTGCCATCCGTCCTGGGGACACATAGGGCAAGGTTGTCCCTAAACAGGAGCCTGGGCCTGGTCCCCTGTCTCTGTGGCAGAGTTAGGATCAACTCTTGGCAGGGGCAGCTCTGCCAGGAGCCCCCTCTGCAGCACCCATCCACACACACAGCACCATCACTAAGTGGGCATGGGGTGCTTCTCCACCGTGGGCACCTGGATGCGTTCCTGATGCCTGTGTGTGGTGTCCGAGCCCTCTTCCAGTCTGTCACCCACACCAGCCTGGTACCCTGTCCCCTAACTCCAGCTGGTTCAGACTGCCTCTCTGGTCATCTCCTGTCCCGTCACTCCCCCCTTAGGTCTTGGGTGAAACATCAGGTGGGCCCCTTCCTCCTTCAGGTCCCTTGAGGACACCTCTGTGTATAATCACAGCCTCACAGGGGCCAGGTCTTTTCTGCCCAAAGTGTCCCCACTGCCCTTCCCTGCAGGAAGCAAGGCAGAGACTCACGTGGGCTGGGACCATATGGCAGCACAGAGTCAGAATGCCCAGCCGGGGGCCTTTCTGCCCCAGGAGCTCAGGGTGGCAACTCTCCCCAGATGTTCTCTGGGAGAGGGTCACTGAGAGGCTACAGGTCACATGATTTGGGACTTGGTGGCTTTCTTCCTCAGGCTGTTCTCAGAAAGGACTCTCAGGCTGAGAGCCTGGTATTGGGTTTTGGCAGCTCCTGGATGAGGAAAGTAACAGGTGGGGAAGTTGTAGCCTCCCTTAAAGGGAGGGATACTTTGTATGCACCTTGTTGCTTATTTGGGAGTCCTAGTCAGAGTAATTGTGTGCACTTGTAACAAAATGTTACAGCTCAGATGTTTACAATGTGTGGCCAGGGATATAGTTTGTAAAGGCTCTCAAAGTTCCCCCCTGCAGAACCTTGCTCCCTGTGCTTTTCAACAAGGATTGCTTTGCAAAGCTTTTACTTTTATGTGCTATATCATCAGAAGTTTCTAGAGTATGAAATAGCCTGTCTTTCATAGCAAAGCTGCTTCTCCAAATAAAGGAAGAAATGGGTACTGTGGTGACTGAACACTCACCTACTGAATTCTGAGTTGAGATGAACGGTGAGTGCCCATGCTTACTTGTGAGCATTCAGAGGGCTGCCACGTGTCCTCGGATTATGCCATGTGCGGTCACCTCCTCCTCTGGCCCATCCATCTGTCATTAACTGCAGACTTAATGAGGAGCTTAAGCATCTCTTTGGACAGGAAACAGCAGGTTAGGATCTGAAAAGATGTTTCGAAATCATTGAGGTTTATGAGACCCCCTGGCTGATGCACTCATACAGGCTTATGTACAGAGCCATGAGTAGAGTGACACTGGGTCCTGGTGATGTCAGCTCAAGTGCTTCATAGTCACATGTCAATTTGTTGCTTTTGGAATCATGAAGTGGTTTTCTGCCACCAGGGTTTTGCGGTACTTCCCTTGGAATCGTGGGTATGAGTACGTCCCACCCAGCTGTGTGTGCTTCGCCTGTTTCTGAAGTCCCTGCTGCTCAGAACCAGAGTCAGTGGGAATGTACTTCCTGGAAAGTGGAGCCGAGTTCCCAGTGGCACTGCAGGCTCCTGGCAGGGGCAGCCTCTGTGCACCCTGCTGCCCAGGTTAAGCCACAGAGAGGATTATGACAAGGTCTGCACCCAGGACAGAGTTTACCCCTCCCTGCATGGCAGCCCTGCTTGGAATTTAACCAAAACTTAGCCATTGTTTTCTGCAAGTTTTTGTCCAAATGCTTGAGTTTAAAAAAAAAAAAAATTAGAAGCAAGACTCCCATCTCTTGGCCTCACTTGTGGGTCAGGCATGGCCATGCTGGCGCAGGGAGCCAGTCTCAGCCCTGGGTGCCCCACCCCAGTACACATGTGCAGGGAGGGCAGCTTTTCAAGCTTCCCTGAACCTCAGGTATCTGGATGCCCTGCCCAGGCTCTAATAGTGAACAGTTCTGTGGACAGCACTGCACAGCTGCGTGGATGGATGGGGCTGCCCCTGGCACTTATAGGGAACAGATCCTGCAGTGAGTATGGCTCCATCACACCATGGTGGAGCTCTGCTGGAGGGCATGTGTCCTTCAGGAGGGGAGGGATGCCTAAGACCTGTCCCCCATAGACACCTGGAAGGCCCTGAGGCAGGCAGCACACCCATGGCCCTGGCCACCTTCTAACATCCTGGGTGTTTGTGGCCCAGGAGAGGGCTAGACCAGTGCCCTCACCCCTGATCACTGCCTGTGCAGCCCTGGGAGGCCATTGGGAAGCAAGTAAGGCCTTGCCATGATGTTGAGGCCGAGTGCTGTGCCATCCCCAATGCCCCGGGCTGTGTGTACTGGCTTGGGGCAGATGTCTGCCCCACCCCTCTAGAGCCCTGACCTTAGGGAATTGGTTTCCTCTAAGTCACCCAGAGTGTCCCTGTAATCCTGTCTGCTTCCTGCATGGACACACACATAAAGCTTAGTTGTGGTTAACCTTGAAAAGTGGGAAGGGGAATTTAAGGTTGCAAACACTTTTATTTTTCATTTTTTATAGCCATCTGTCCTCAAATGTGGATTTTTAACATGAGTGTATGTGTGTACACACATGTAAGTGTACACAGAGTTTTGTTTTATAACTGACTGAACAAAGCAGTCGGTTTTATGCAGAAACCTGTCATTATGGCACAAAGTGTGTCTTAAACTAACATTGAACCTTTGAAATTAAATTATTAAATGTACTCATCTGAATGTCCTTCCACTAATGCTCTGCTCTGATAAAGTGTCTACCCTGAGTCCTCACTGCTCTTCCCGTGCTGGTTTCCAAGGCCAAGTGGCAGCCGGGCCCCAGGAGCCCTGCCGCTGCCCTGCTGGTTGGTGCCCATGTCACCACTCAGGGTGGCTGCAGTGTGCTCTCTCAGCACTCTCGGTTTTGACCCTTCATCTGGGGAGTGCTCATAAGTGTGCATGCAGGTGTCTTCATGCCAGAGAACATCTTGTTTGGATGCCTGCGGGCACTGCTTGCAGTCCGACTGGTGTGCCCAGGGTGAGAGTTGGGGAGCACTCAGAAATGGGTATGCAGGTGTCTTCATGCCAGACATCTTGTTTGGACGCCTGCAGGCACTGCTTGCAGTCCGACTGGTGTGCCCAGGCTGAGAGCTGTCGGACGTGTCCTGCAGGCTCCTCTTTCTCTGCTGCATTTTTTTCATGGATGTTCCATCTTCAGGCCTCTTGGTGGAAGCCAAACACCACCTCTTCTGCAGAGCATTGGCTGGACACACCCTTCATCTCCCCCCTGGAACACTGGCCCCTGCTCCAGCCTGTGTTTCCTGTGGTCAGGAGTGGGTGGGCTACAAGCCACACTCTCAGTGTGGGGTGGGAGCCCCAAGTTGTCCATCAGCCCCAGGCCCACATCCACGTCAGTTTGTAGAGCCTTTACCACTGATGTTACTGGCCAAGCCAGGCCCTCCCGCTCTCTGCTCCCACTTCACACTGGAGCCCAAACTTCTCACTGAAAGCAACTCCACCCTCACACTCTGTAAGAGGCTGCACAGAGCCGTTCCTCTATGAACTACAGTCTTTAGAAAATCTCAAGCTGTTATCTTTACCTGCTTCCTTTTCGTTTAAATATTTTCTGTCTATCAGATGTTTTTTGCAATTTAATTATCTCTTTCTCATATCAAAATTCAGGGGCTCTGTGCCTGAGACAGTGGCTGCTGGAGCACCTCACCATGAGGGCTGGGTGCAGGCGGGGCTGTGCCTTGGGGCAGAGTGCCCTCCGGTGCTGGGAGCTGTGCCTGCTGGGCAGCCACCACACCCTTCCGGGGTTTGCGTCTGGGAAGGTGCCACGGGCTTTCCTGTTTGGGTGTAGCTGGCTGGAGCATCTATGTGAGATTTTCCACAGTCACCTGTCTACAAAGGCGTCCTCGCCCCACCTGCCTCACAGGCCCCAGGAGGGGCTTTCAGCCACTCTGCCCCCTCCCAGACACAGCCCAGATGAAAGTGTCCTGGGAATGGGCAGGGGC